AGTTGTTTGTATACTGTTTTGTAATGAGCAATTATATTTAATCCTTCAAGCATCTATATGAGACAGGAGGAATATTAATCTCATTTGACAGATGAAGACAGTGAAGATCAAAGAGTTTATTTATGTAGTCACCCAGCAGAATAACCAATAGTAGGAAATCATGTCCACTCTAACCTTTGTTAAGACATCTTAAATGATAGCTCTTATTCAACAAATATTTATTGAGCTATAGACTAATAATAGAATAAAAAGTTTAGAAACAAGCATATACATATATAGTCAACTGAATTATGATACAGATAACATTGAAGTGCAGTGGGAAAATGTGGGTTTTTTAATCAATTAAAAATGAAGTTAGGGACTTCCCTGGTAGTCCAGTGGTTAAGAATCTGCTTGCCAATGCAGGGGACACAGGTTTGATCCCTGGTCTAGCAAGATTCCACATGCCATGGGGCAACTAACCTGTGGGCCGCAACTCCTGAGCCCATGCTCTGGAGCCAACAAGTCACAACTATTGAACCTGTGTTATGCCTAGAGGCCGTGCTCGCAACAAGAGAAGCCACTGCAATGAGAAGCCCACACACCACAACTAGAGAGTAGCCCCTGCTCATTGTAACTAAGCGAAAGCCCGCATGTAGCAACAAAGACCCAGCACAGCCAAAGCTAACTAAATAAATTTAAATCTCTACCTTATACCATACAGAAAAAATTAATTTGTGATGGGTAAGTGATTTAAAAATGTAAAAGGTAAAGTAATAAAAGCTTTTGGAAAAAAGCGGAAGATTATCTTCATGACTCTCTTTTAAATAAATCAAACATTTCTTAAATACGAAAGATTTTTAAAACAGTACAAAATAAAGATCAAACCATAAAGGAAAAATTGACAAATTGGCTTTCATTAAAATGAGTTTGTTAAGAGAAGAAAGTAAAAAAGCAGGCTACCAAATGGGAAATTATATTTGTAGTACATATATGCAATAGGTACTCTACCTAGAATGCTTTAAAGAAGTTCTACAAACAGTGTCAATCAGCCCAATGGAAAAATATGCAAAAAGTTTGAACAGGCACTTCATAAAAGAGCTATACAAATTACTTATAAGAAAAAAATGTGTTCAACATTATCAGTCATAGGGAAAATGCATAATAAAACCTCTGTACATGCACCGAATGGCAGATTTAGAAAGCTGACTATCAAGTGTGGGCACGGCTGTGGAGCACACTGGTAGACGTGTAAGCTGGTACCAACACTCTGAAACACTGTTTTGTGGAACCTCCTAAAGTGTGTCTTATGTATATGACCCAGTGTACCAAAAGATATGTAAGAAAGTATGTACATGTTCATAGCAGCACTCTTCAGTGTAGCCCAAGTGTCCAGCAAGAGTAGGGTGGATATGTGAATTATAATATACTCATATTCAGCAGTGACTTCCTAACCTAGCTATGAGGAAACAGATTGTTCTCCCTGGATGTCAAAATGGAACTTTTTTATAATGCAATATTACATACAATGTCAAACTGCTTGAAAAGTTTCTAAATGTTCAAGTGTACCTTCTGTACTCATGACATTGCAGATCAGTGGCAAAAAGGGCAGACCAGCACTTCTAGTAACACTAATCTCAAGTGATGAAAATTAACAAACTATAACTGCACAGAGCAAAGTGGGTGAATTCCACAACCAGATGCAGAAGGGTCTCTATTTTATGATTCCCTTCATATAAAATTCATGACAACAACACTCACCTATGATGTTATTTTTTAGAATTACAATTGAGGAGCTGGAGATCTATCATTTGAAGAGGTTATGAGGGCAGTTCTGAGGTTCTCAGTCCTGGCATTGCTTTGTTTTCATGCTGGTTGTATGGACGTGCTCATTTTGTGAAAGTTTACCTAGCTGTACACTTAGGATTTGAGCACTTTTTTTATATTTTATTTACATTAAAAAATATTGAACATTTATTAAACCTATGCCCTCTAAACTTGTGAAGGTAATAGATGGAGATGCCTATGTAAGTAAATAAACAAATGTGAAATTACAGATTATGATTCCCTGAAAGAAATCATAACAAAATACAGTGAAAGAGAATAATAAAAGAAGGAATCTACTTAGATAAGGTGGTCCTAGAAGGGGTTTCTCTGAGACCTAGAGGATGAAAAGGAATCAGTGATAACCATGGCAAAAACTCCAGGGACTTCAGTAGTTATTTTGAGTACAGAAATAGAATTTAGTGTATTTACAGTAAAAGAGGATATGCAGACATAAGGTACAACCTGGGAATTGGTGTCACAAAGATTGGGACAGGAGGAGAATGGATGGAAAGACGTAGGATTTTCACTTGCAGCTGCAGAAATGAGAAGACTAGTGGAAAGACCAGCATGCAGTTTTGCAAGAGGCTTGTTGACATCAGCAGGAGAAAAGAATGATGTGATATTTAAAATAAAGAAAAATCTAGTGTTAAAGGAAGTGTATTCCTAGTTAATTATCCAAACCAAAGAAAATATGATCTTTTTAAGAGTTAACTGCTGTGGTTAGTTGCTCAGTCGTGTCCGACTCTTTGCAACCCCATGGACTAGCCTGCCAGGCTCCTCTCTCCATGGGGATTCTTCAGGCAAGAATACTGAAGTGGATTGCCATGCCCTCCTCCAAGGTATCTTCCCAACTTAGGGATCAAACTCAGGTTTCCCGCATTGCAAGCAGATTCTTTATCATCTGAGACACCAGGGAAGCCCAAGAGTTAAGTAATAGATGAATTTCACGTGCATTTCAGGGAGCTTCACGTACACTGATGTGTATGTATGTAAAAGTAATTTGCATATTAGAGAATTTTGATTGAGGCATTTGAAGATGGATGGCAAGTAGAACAGCATTCATTCCAAATTCTTAGCATCTCTAGCATTCCACTGGTCCCCCCTCCCCAACACACAATAATTTCCTTATCACTCATTTGAGCTCTATCGGTCTTCCCTTTTGATTTCTTCCTACCTCATCCTTTCCCCTCACCCTCAAATGTTTCATTGAAAGTACTAAGCATTTTCATGTATATCAGCTTCTTTAATCCTTTTGTAACCCCGGCAGTCTCATGTTTGTGGAGCTGCATAGAGGAAACTTTGACTCAGAGAAGTTATGTGATTTGCCTAAAGTCACAACCTATACTCTTGACTTTAAGTGCAGTGCTTTTTCTGTCATGCCATTGAGACCTTCATCTTTTCCAAATCAACACATGATAGTGTTATTTCAAAATATTGCAATATTTCAATATTGAAATATGAAATATATGAAATATTGAGATATTCAAAATATTACATTATGGGTAATGAAACTGTGCTGTTGTTTGTTAGATTTTATGAAAGACATCTTTCTAGAAGGGCTAAGTTATATATAGGAATATAAGATGTTGTTGTTCAGTCATTAAGTCATGTCCAACTCTTCACAACCCCATGGACTGTAGCACGCCAGGCTTCCCTGTCCCTCACCATCTCTCGGAGTTTGCCCAAGTTCATGTCTGTTGAATCAGTGATGCCATCCCAACCATCTCATCCTCTGTCACCCTCTTCTCCTTCTGCCTTCAATCATTCCCAGCAACAGGGTCTTTTCCATTAAGTTGGCTCTTCACATCAGGTGACCAAAGTATTGGAGCTTCAACTTCAGCATCAGTCCTATATATGTATAATGTGTGACCATATTTCACTTTACATAGGCTTGAAATCAATTTTATATATATATATATATATATAAACAAAACTTTAAAGGTTTTAATAGCTTTTGAAGTAATTGGAAACTTCCTAAAATGTAACATATCCAGGATATGATTATAATAATTATCACTAATTTCATGTCTTCTTAATTACTAAAGATCTGAAATAAAAAAGATATGACCTTGATGCAGATGGTTAAAAAAATTGTAGTGGCCCAAGATCTCATTAAAAATAAAGAGGTAAACCAAATAATTATTCAGAGCTTAGCTTATTTCCTATTATTTGCCTTCCCTCTGACTCTCTGAAAGTGAAAGTTGCTCAGTTGTGTCCAACTCTTTGCGAGCCCATGGATTGTACAGTCCATGGAATTCTCTAGGCCAGAATACTGGAGTGGGTAGCCTTTCCCTTCTTCAGGGCATCTTCCCAACCCAGGGATTGAACCCAGGTCTCCCGCATTGCAGGCAGATTCTTTACCAGCTGAGCCACAAGGAAAGCCCAAGAATACTGGAGTGGGTAGCCTATTCCCTCTCTAGCGGATCTTCCTCACCCTGGAATCAAACTGGGGTCTCCCACATTGCAAGCAGATTCTTTACCAACTGAGCTATCTGACTCTACCTGTCTTTAATACTACTACCAATGAGTAAACATTAGGAAAATAGGAGATTAAACTCAGATTGCTTGTTTTTTATCACTTGCTTGTCACTTTGGAGAGCCTAGGAGCAAGATCGGGAGGAACTAGGAGATTAAGAAGATTCATCAAAATGAAGTAGATAGATTAGTAGGTTTTAATCCATTGTCTTTGAAACTTAAGAGATAAGATATTTTTACTGAGAACACACAGCCTGCTACTGAAATATCTGATAGTATTATATCTGTTTGAATTTTTATACTGACTTGTAAACTGGAACAGTATACTATCCAACAAAAGAATCTAGACTTTCTGGAAATGGAAAGGATCCCTAGTTGCATTGAATCTTGTGATCAGGTAGAACAGAGTAGTTAATATATGGATCTGATCATTATTCTCTTTGACTGACATGTCATAAGGGAGAGGCCAGATCAACAATTTCTGGTTTCAGCCATTTCTGGCAGTAGCTGTAGCTGTTCATATGAGATGACTGTTCACTTGGTGTCACCTTGGAAATTGTTCCTGGAATATCCTGGTGTCTATTATGTATGGCATGAGAACAGGTGTTTTGGGGGTCTGATATGCCATAGGATTGCTCCCAGGAGTGTAGTAGTGTACCAGACTCTTTGTCAAAGCATTCTTTGAATCTCCAATCTTCCTTCTCTTCTGTTTGCCACAGAGTGAGTCTCATCAGTTTCGCGTCATGGCAGCTGTCCTTCGCCATTGTTTACTAATCGTAGGTCCAACTGAAGACAAAACAGAAGAGCTACACAGGTAGGTAACCTCTGCTGGTATCTCAGTGAAAGACATAATCAGTTCTTATTGTTTTTATGCATCTGATTTTAATTGTAATAAACACAAGAAAGTGGAAATGTTGTAGTAAATCAGGTAGCCAGTAGGTCGAAAATCATTACTATGCCCTGATGAGAAATTTTCATTCTGTTTCCTTTGACTTTGTTATATTGAGCCCCTCAACAAGAGAAGAGAATTTGGCATTTGTTGCATTCAACAGTAAAACCCAGAACAACAATAATAATAGCACACAGTTGTTGAATACTGTGCGTAGCATTATGCTGAGTGCTTTATAAAGACTAACCTCTTTTAATCATCACACCAATCTTATGAGGTAGGTACTATTTTTCCCTTTCAATATGTGATGAAACTGAGTCATAGAAAAATCGAGCAGTTTCTCTGAGATTGCATATAAGTGAAAGACCTTGGGGTTGAACCCTGATTTTAATTACTGCACTTAAACTAATACTCTATTTTCATTGTAAGAGGGTTTATCAAAAAGTATATCTTAAGCAATGTTAATTAAATTTTAAAAGCTTATTATAAGAATTGAGTCACAGTCTCAAGTATCAGTATATAAAAAAATAGTTCAAGTTTTGTGACTTGCCTACTAGAGCTATTATGGACTGCTGTTAAAAGTTATCATTCTCTGAGAACAACTGAAGAAGTATTAATGCATTTTTCTAGTTCTCTTACTTTCTATTTTATGTCAGATTAGTAGTAACAACACTTCTGACTTTAACATGAGATTGTCTGTGGTGCTTTATTCTGTAAGAACACAAATGGCATTTTAAACAATTCAAATAAATTCAAATTTGTAAACTTTGGCATTAAATCTCCTTTAAAAACAATTTAAAATTGGGTTCTTCTAATAATAGAAATTACCTTTAGAAATTATCCAAAACATACATTATATTTACAGTATATACAGTACATACAGTATATCCAAAATATAGCTTAAGTAAAACTGTATAGAAATACAACCAGACTGTAAAATAAAACATACCTTTGTTATTTTTCAGTCATATCCATATTATTTTAGTTATGATTGGCAGTTTATCATTTGATATTGTACTCAGTTTGTTGGTAGGTTACCTTATGTACTCTGCCCTGCAAGCCTTCAAAAAATTGTTTTCTTCACAATTAAAAAGTACACTTTTTTGTGCAGCTACAGATCAAAAGTTCCTTTAAATATCTGGAACTGTGTCTTAAAAAATAATCAGGTTAACTGCAGTAACTCAAATCCTCTAAAAAAGATTTTATTAAGCATTTTTGTCTCACTAATTTTTTCATAACAAGAAACACTGGAAACCTAGATATTAAAGCTAAAAGAAACTGGGTTTATAAGCCCAGGTATAAATTTATTTATTTTGGAAATCTGATATCACAAGTTAAATGACATTCATACAAAGATATGAGAAGAAAGTGTTTTGATAGCAATTGTTACACTAGTCACAAAAACATTGCTAAGGATTTCTCTGAAGAGTGAATTTAATATTTTAAAACAGTACCCAGTATTCATCAGAAGAGAGCAAAACTGTATAGAGGTTTTAACAAGAAAAGATTTTTTTTTAAAGTAATCCGATATCTTTATTTTACTTTGTGATGATATTTGCTTTAAATACTTATTTTTCTTAAATTTAAAAAACATTTTTCTTTAAATTTATTTTTACTTATAAGTTGCTCTGATAAATTATGTGTTAGCTCTACTGTAAATAAGAAGGAATGTCCCTAGAGCCACAGACAGATTTATATGTATTTCTAAAAGGCTTTCCTTGGAGATTGAGGTTGCTGCTGACATGACAGTTTATCTGGACTGGCCTTGCATGTCCCTTTAATCAGAATTAAAGTGATTAGTATCATTTGAGCAGTAATGACTCTAAGCTAATCTATTTAAATGCAGAAAAACTGTACCAGCCTCAAAGGGTTATTTTAAGAACCTTATTAGAATTGTAATGTCTACTGAATTCTTCCCAGTTGTAGTGGCTCTGAAAACTGTGTGTGTGTAGTTAAAAGCATCATTTTAAAGATAAATCAGAATGTTTCATATTTCAACATCTCATTCCATTTTAACCTTTATTTTGTAAATTTGTTTTTGCTTTTTTTTTTAAGAAGAAAAATGTAATGAAATAAGTAAACCTAGATAGTGTGGTGGATGGTTATGCATTGTCAGCAAACTCAAACGATTGTAATAGTGATTAAATGAGAAATTAGTAAAGCCATCCCTCCCTGGTATGGAGTAAGTTCTCAGTAAATGGGGGAGAAACTGCTCCTGCCAGCACCACAACCCTACTGCCACTGCTGCTTCTGTTACTGTTGTTATAATGAGCATATTGGCTTTGAGATCCAATATTTCATTCTAAATCTCTTCTTTAAAGTTTCTTCAATTTTGATATTTTGTTTAGAAAGCTGTTTCTTTGTATATATTGTGATTGTGTAGTGAAATCTCTTTTCTGTTAATCTAAGATTTTATCAAGCCAGATGCTTGGCAGGCACCTCAGGAGCCTGCTAAGGTGCTCTAGGAGACAAGTGAGTAAAAATATGGCTTAGCAGCAGCTTTTTCTGATACGTTGTCTCTGTTAAGACATTGCCTTTCTTTTTTCCCCTAGAGAAATCAGGAGGACATGGACATAGAGATAAAATGAGTTAGCTGACAAGGACAACTGACCTTGACATCAACTTTATTACCACTTATCTGAATTTTATATAGTTTCTAAAATCTAGATGTTCTATTTCATTTCCTTTTGTCTGTATTTATGGTAAAAAGTAAGTTGTTGGTATGATCCACCTTTGTGGCTCCATTAAAGGACATCCTAATTCTGTCTATCTCTGCTATCTGCCTGAGAGTATTTTCAGCCCTCTTGTCCATAATCAGTAAGCTTATGCTAAACACTTAGCCAAAAAAAAAAAAAAAAGAAGAGTTGCTTGTGGATGTGGTTGTGGTTTTGTTTTATTTTGGAGAGAAGGGGGAAGATGGGGATGGCCTGCATGCTAGAGAAGAAAGGAGAGGGAAGGACCAGATCTGATTTAATTTCCTTCAACTTCTCAGCCTGATTCTTTCACTCAACACATTGGCATCTACAAAGATTTCTTTCTTTCTTTTTTTTTTTTTTTGTATCCAAAAGTGCCAGTGTGTATTTGAAAAGTACTTGCTTCCTTGCTTTTTTTGTTGTTCTTTGTTTAGACCAATTCATTTTATCTCACATATTTAAGGGGACAGTTTAGCACCTAATGACACCTCATTACAGTGCTAAGCATAATGTCTTTTTTTCCCTAGCTTTACCAAGTCATAATTGACATATAACATTATGTGCATTTAAGGGGTACAGTGTGCTGATTTGATACACATATTACAAATACAAAATGTTAAAAAATAAGCATAATGTCTCACACATGGCAGACTTTTGATAAATGTTTGAAAATTGGAACATTTCATTTTGGTTTATATTTATAAACTGAGCACTTGCTATGTGTTAGACACTATGTTGAGCTCTAGAGGCAACAAAGATAAAGAGAGTATGACCTTTGTTCTCCAAGGCTCACCAACTAAGTTGATGAGTTGTAGTTTTGAATACGGTAATGTGGGCAGACCTCACCTAGATGGTATCATTTCAGCGAAGACTTAAAGGAAGTGAGGGAATGAGTGAGCCTTTTGACTGTGTGGGGAAAGGGCGGTCCAGGAAATAGCGCAGAAGCAAAGGCCCCAGGGCAGGAGCAGTGGCAGGTGTGAAGAACTGCGAGAAGTTTGTGTGGCTAAACCACCATACACATGTCCCTTTACCCTCTTGAATTTTACTCTCAGACCTTTTATCACCTTCTACTCAGTTGAGCTTTATTGTTTTGACTGATCTCTACATGCTAGAAAATGAGCTCCAGAAGGGGAGGGATTTACCTCTGTTTTCTTCATAATACCAGTCTAAAAATGCCTGGCATAAGTAATTAATAATTACTGAATTGAGTTAGATTAAGGTAAACTTAGGTATTTACCTCTGAAAATCTTTTGGAGATCTTGAGATTCATATAAGTAGATTTTCCAGCCATGAAAAAAGGTATGTGAGCTCCCAATATAAAGAAGATACATTTGACCAGAGAAGTTTGCTAACAGCTGTAGGTCTGCTTATACTGTTATCATGCTCCTCAGTGTCATCTGGTATTAAATTATGTTTAGCCCAGCGATTGATACAGGACTGGATTTCAGATTGCCTCCCTTCTCCCACAACTAACAAGACTTTAATCAGAGCATTAAGGAGCTCTAAATAGGCCCTGCTTTTGAATCTGCATATCAGGAGGGGGCTGGGAGCTTGAGTGGGAGGATGTCATGTCCCAGTGATTAATGATCTCTAGGAGGCTGAAAAGGGGAGAGTAATATACACAGTATTTCTACCCCCTGGAGTAGGAATGCAAACACCATTGTGCAGATCTGTGCATAGTCACTGACTTCCTGGTAGCTGGAGAATTTCATACACTCTTCTACCACAAATAAAACTGTCAAGAGAAGTGACAGAACTCAAAAAGCTGGCTTTCCTTACTTAAAAAGAATAGCTTGAACACAGTGAGCCAGAAAATTAATTTTGTAGTTGTTTGGTAACCCAGTTGTTCAATAAGAAACGAGAAAATGGAACCTTTTCTTGAAAAATCTAAAACCTCCAAATATTTGTGGACTCAAACTCTACATTTGATTTTTTAAATTTACCAAATTCCTAGAAACTGCTAATTTTAGATGAATTTAAAGGGAAGCAGTCCTTTATAATGTAATGCATCACCTTAAACTTTTCAATGTGGTCTCAGTGGTAGATGCCAGCCTATTGCCCTCTGTGTTGAAAAAATACCAGTAACATTTCAAAATGGATTTTATGGTTTTAGAAATTAATTAAGAAGAGTTCTATTTTTTTTCTTTTACCCCCAGTACATCTATGATATCTAATAATAGTTCTTAAATGTTTAAGTTAGGAGCAATATTTTTATCTATAGATAATTATCTACAGATAATTGCAAAAATTTTCAAAGGAAGGCTTGAGGGAAAACTATTGTATTTCAACCAATTGTGATCATTTACAAATAACCAAAAAGAGACTTTGTTGAATAGTAGTAGCAGTGATAGCAGCAGCAGCAGCTGTAGTAGGTTCTTTGTGGGTAGAACCAAGTAACTTGTATTTTATCAGAAACCATTTATTCATAGGACTTGTTAAATTATTTTTCTTCTTGGTTCTGATTTTTTTGATGCCCTTTAACCACTTACTGTTCTCCATTGTCTACTTTTTAAACCTGGAGTTCTTACAAAATTTTTTTCCCATAATATAAAAAGAAAGAAAAGAAATACCCATTCTTAGGGAAATGCAGCCACACTTCAGGGCAGAGGAGAGAAAATATTTTATTTCTGTTTTGTTGTTGTTTATTTTTTATTTTTGAGGGTGTCACTATAATCTAAATTAAAAGAAACTACTGTGGAATAAATTAAGACCGCATCAGTTAGATTAAGCCCTGAATTTGGTTTCCAAGTGGTTAGACTTTTAAATTGCATTTCCAAGAGTTTATTTTTAGTCAGGATGTGGTTATTTTTAGATCTGCTTCTCTGTCACTAGGAAATGTAATGCCTGTCTCTCCGTTGTTGTTTATCAGGAAGTTCTGAGGCACAGGCTTTTAAGATCCAGTTAGCGCAGAACACCACCTCTCCTTTTAAATGAAAAAATATGAAATAATACCTGAAGGAAAATATATTAAATAACAGCATGTCTGATTTTTAAATTGTTAATGTCATTTTAGTCTCTTGCACATCGAGAAGCAGAACAAAGTTTTTAGGGAATACCAAAAAATACAAGGTTTGGGTTCCCCCTACTGGTGCACATGCCAGGCTCGCGATTCCATTAACACATAGCGAGAAAGGCCTCAGGGAATGAAGATTTGAAATAGCCACATTGGCCTCTTTTAAAGAAATCTGGGGATGAAAGAGGGAGAAAAAGCACCATTTACCATTTTCGGCAAATGTCTTACGAAAAAGGGGATGATCTAAAAATTGTATTTCTACATCTAGGAAGGACAAAACTTAATCCTGCAATATTTGATTCTTAATGCTGTTGCCGCCGTGATAAGCTGCTTATATACAGTGCTTCTCAAATGCTTTATGTTGTAATCTAAGGAATAATAAAACACCAGTGGATCCACAAAAGGATTTAAAACCCCAAGGAAAAACTGCAAGACTAGTATTGTATCATAATAAAAGTAAAGAGCTAGTGTTAAAGCTCACTAATTCCTATTTTAGCATTTCAGAAAGTGACATGACATCATGTGATTGTGTATGTCCATTTAGCATCTGTTCTTTCTAATTTGCCATGTGTGTATTTGAAACAATTCTCTTTATTTTCTGTCTCTTAGTCAGTAAATGCCAAATAATATTAAAGGCTTATTTTGAAAAAGAAGAATTTTAATTGACTCCTAAAAGTCTTACTATGTTTGCATTTTAAAGGACTGTTCAATCAAATTAAAATATTGTCTTTTTAAATTGCTTTTCAGCAATGCAGTCAACCTTTTAAGCAATGTTCCGGTCTCTTGTTTGGATGTTCTCATTTGTCCATTAACCCATGAAGAAACAGCCCAAGAAGCAACGACTCTAGATGAACTGCCCAGTGATAAAACAGCTGAGAAAGAAACAGTTTTGAAAAGCAGTACCATGGTATACAATGGTATGAATATGGAAGCCATTCATGTCTTACTCAATTTTATGGAAAAGAGAATAGACAAGGTAATACTGATAAAATGGAGAAGATGCTTCTAAAGAATGTAATTGTACACATATACAGACATCACAGGATGTGATTTTTGAATCTTAAATTTTTTATAGCTGATATCCTGAATAATTATTTATACTCTGGAAAGCTTTTTATTTACCATAAATGACAAATTGCTGAAACCAAGTGAATTTATTTGTTTAAAGCTGAAAATTGTGTTGATGTGACACCAAAATTGTGACTAGTGCCTGAAAACAAAGGAAAAAGTAATCTTCTAGTGTAGGTATTTTATAAGTTCTAGAAGTAAAAATTATCCCCCCCCCCAAAATTGATGATAAATACTTTCCATAACACCCAAAAGACATCTTTAAAGGAAAATTGCCACTGTAAGCTGCTTATTTTCTCCTTTCTGATCACTGTCTTTGTCAAGTAACTATATTAAAAGGCAGAAAGTTAGTTTGGGTCGGTCATGAAAACCTTTGCTGCCTTTCAGCCCATTGTCTGAGCCAGTGAGAATCCTATAAAATGCAGGAAAAATCAAGAAGGATACAAATAAGCATTAGTAAGCATGATGATAACTCATGAAATAGAAATTTTTTAAGAAAATAATTTGTAAAATAGTTTTTACAGCTTTGGTAACATAAAATATCTCCCCCTCAAAAAGAGGAGTGTTAATATACTCAGTTATATGAAGAAAAGTAATACTGTTATAAACTAATCTAATGCAGCATGTATGGTTTTCTTTGTAGGGAAGCAGCTATAGAGAGGGTCTCACTCCAGTTCTCAGCTTGTTAACAGAATGTTCCCGAGCCCATCGAAACATCAGAAAATTTCTCAAAGATCAGGTAACTGTTTAATGCATATTTCATCTCAAAGTTAATCTTCTTATATGTATTTTTTAACATAAAATCAATGAATTGAATTCTTTCACAATGATTTCCTTTCAGAATGTCAGAAACTCAAAAAAGTTAAGTGTTAATCTTTGAAATCTTCCTAATCCAGAAATAAGTGACCCTGTATATTTTTTAAGTCATTCATTCATTTACTCAACAAATGTTTATTGAGATTTGTGTGCTGTGTTCTAAGCCTTGAAATACAAATGAAGTCTTTGCCTTGTGGAGTTTCTCTTATACTAGGGGGATTAAAAAGTAAACAAATAAGTATCTTGATACAATGGCAAGTAGTGATAAGTGTTCTGAAGAAAGATACAGAGGAAGGGAAAACTTAAGGGAATAAGGAAGAGCTTCTCTTGAGAAAATTTGAGCAGAAACTTGGATAAGTATGAAAAGGATCTTTGAAAATATCTAGAAGAGGATATTCTCTGAGAATAGTTCTGGGAATATTCTGGAAGAGGAATGTACCAGAGAGAATGAGTTCAGAGTCTCTGGATGAGAGGATATTTTGGTATGCTTAAGAAAAAGCAGAAAAGCTAGACAATGTTGTGCCAGAGGGAGAGTGCTGGATAAAGTACAAGAGGTAAGCAAGAATCAAACAACATAAGGTTGTGTAGGACTTTCAGTTTTCTTCTAAGTGATATGGGAAAGCACTGGATGGATTTGAGAAGGGAAGTGGTGTGACCTCACTTATATTTAAAGATATTCTGGCTACTAGATAGGCCAGAGGAGTGTGAGTAGATGTGAGGAGACCATCCCAAAAGAGAACTGATGCTGAAGGTTATGATGGTAGTAGTTAGAGTTGATGGTAAGAAATCATCTTCCTACCTCTGCATCTACTGTCTGTCTGTACCACCATATCCTGTGTCTCCCCTCTGTCACAGGGAATGAACTGTCCCTGCTTCCTTCTGTGGCCAGCCTCTGTGCTCATATCCTGGAACCCTTTCCCTCTCACCTCAAGAACTCTGCTCCTACATTTATTCTCTTTCTTCTCATCTTTTTTTTTTTTTTTAATGTATTGGATCATTTTTGTCTGTACCCAAACACATCTCCCATCTTACAGGCAGAAAAACCTTCCCTTAATTCCCACTTCTCAAGCTGCCTCCCCATTTCTCTGCTCTTCTTCATGCAGTGTTCCTCAGGAGAGTTTTCTGTGCTCACCTTCTCTCTCCTTTTTGCTCATTTTGATTCTCTTGTGAACCCCCTGAAATTAGGTTTTCATACTTTCCAGTCCACTACAGAGGTGTTTATCAAAAGTCATCAACCCAATATTGCCAGATCTAATAGTTCTCAAATCTTTTTTTTAATTTCCCAATACCATTTTGATATAATTAAGTATTCCCTCCTTTTTGAAGTAATTTCTTCACTTAGTTTCTTGGACACAACAGGGAACCTCTTCTTTGCAGTGTTCTGAGTTCCCCAAGACAATGTTATCTTTGTCTCTATGTCTGTTCTCTTGTTGATCTCATTTAACAATCTTGGTTTTGAAAATCTTCTATTTGCCAATGGCTCCCAAATTTCTATCTCTAGCCGTGATTGTCCCCTAAACTCTCCAGAATTATATAATGTATGCCTACCTATCTCCTCCCCTTAGATGGGTAGTAGGTATCTTAAGTTTAACATATCCGAAACTAATCTCTTGACTTGTGGTCCTCCATCCCTCTATCTTCTCCTTCTTTTCTCATTCAATACATGGCACCACCATTCACCCCATTGTTTATTGTCATGTAGAATTTCTCTTAATAAATGAACTAGGTTCATTTTTCTCTGTATGTTTATGGTCAAGATTTAATAAGCACTTTGGTCTGTGTAGAGCATATTAATAGATATTGCTGATAAGGAGAAATTAGAAAGTAGGTACTCGTATCTTTGAAGAATTTATAGTCCATTAGAGGACTGCTGCTGCTGCTGCTAAGTCACTTCAGTCATGTCCGACTCTGTGCGACCCCTTAGACAGCAGCCCACCAGGCTCCGCCGTCCCTGGGATTCTCCAGGCAAGAATACTAGAGTGGGCTGCCATTTCCTTCTCCAATGCATGAAAGTGAAAAGTGAAAGTGAAGTGGCTCAGTCGTGTCCAACTCTTCACAACCCCATGGACTACAGCCCACCAGGCTCCTCTGCCCATGGGATTTTCCAGGCAAGAGTACTGGAGTGGGTTGCCATTGCCTTCTCCAATTAGAGGACTAGGTATCATCAAACATGAATAATCATTTAAGCAAAATAAATTAGATAATTGAATTAAGGTCATTTCCAAGTTTGATTATTTTAAGACATCTGTTCTGACTAGAAAGGCTTAGTAAAGAATAATACATGAAAATATTTTGTGTCCTATATTTTAGCTTTTCACATAGGAGACCCACTTTCCACTAAACTGTTTAGATTTTGCTATCTCTAAGCAGGATACCCCAAATATATCCTGTTTGTTAAACAGATTTTTTATATGAAGGCCTTGGTCTCTACATTATGTAGGCACAAAAGACTGTGAGACCCACTGTTTGTCCTCAAAGAAATACTGCAGTACAAAGGAGACATAACAAGTAAAAAGTTAACTAGAGAAGGATAAATGGCACAATACAAAAATCAACTTTCCTTCTGAGGAAGATGTACTCTAGACTATGATGATCAAGAAGGGCAGAACCTCAAATAACAGATGATTAGTTCTGGTAACAGTGTAAATGGAACCATGGCTAATTAGTTATTGTTCCCAGTGGTTAATACCTGCTTAAATCTACCTTGTGCATACCCAAAGTAAAGTGGGCTTGAATACTCAGTATTTGGGCAGGTAGAAAGAGAACAGATGGTAGAAATTACTGATTCGGGTTGGATTAGTCTGGAGAGGAATATAGAAGAGATGAAGATTCCATGGGTTTGAAAAAAGAACTGGACAAGATTTCTCAAAAGAAAAAATTTAATGAAAAGTAGTATTTGGGGGAAAATAGAAATTTTGGAGAAAAATGATCCATTGGAGAAGGAAATGGCAACCCACTCCAATATTCTTGCCTGGAGAGTCCCATGGACAGAGGAGTGGGACATGCTACAGTCCATGCAGTCACAAGAGTCAGACACGACTTAGTGACTAAACCACCACCACCAGAAATGATCCAGACTTACGCAGTTTGTGTGAGCATGATATGTAACAATAAAAACTACAAAATTTCTTATTCTAAAGAACTGAAAACATAGCTAATAAAATTTTTGTGTGATAACCTTTATTAATAGATACTATGCTCTGGAACCGTAGGTACATACTACATGAAATCACTTGTTTCATGTCTCATTTCTCTAGAAATGGGAGATAAACTCAGTAGGGTTAGCTGAATCAAATAATAAGAATTTACTGTGTAATTATTTTATGCTTACAGGGCACAAATAGCAATTTGCTCTGTCCTGCCAGAGATATTGAAATATGGATTCTATAAACACTTGGGTAGATTATTCAGTTTTCTGAGATTTCATTTCTGATTTTTTTTTTTAAACCTCCTGATACATGATAGGCACTTAGTATAGAAAGAAATAAAGAAGGAAGGAAAGAAATCAGCTGAATGGATTAAATAAAAATAATGTGCACATAAAGAGTCTGGCATAGTAAATTATAACTTGACTTGTGTCTACCTTCATTTCCTAGCATAGTGCCTCACCTATAGAAGGTACTTTTAAAAAGTTACTTGAATTAATTCATTCTTCCTTCAGACAGAAAATATTTATCGAAACCTGTAATATGCCAGGCACTGAGAGTGGTAAACAAAACAGAAAGAAATCCCTGCCCCCAGACTCTTGTGGAAGAAGGTAGACAGTTAAGAAAGAAATGTATACTATGTCAGGTGGTGATAAGTGCTGTGAGGAAGACTAGACCAGGAGCAGGGGATGAGAAAGATAATGCTGAAGGTGAATTCCTTAGGGTGATCAAGGATTGTCTTTCTGTAAATAATATTTGAACAGAGACCTGAAGAAAGTAAGGGAATGAGCCAAGCCAGTTTCTAGAAAAAGGGTTTATGGGCAGAGAGAGCAGCAAATGCAAAGACCATGAGGCAAGAAAATGCTCAGTGAGTTTAAGGAGTTCCACCTGTGAAAGTGTAGCAATGTGAGCAAGAAATTGTCAGAAAAGTAGCAGGAAGACACATTATGTGAAACCCAAGGAATCTGCAAGGATCTCCACTTTTACTATGCATAAGATGAGAGGCCATGGGAACTGGAGGACTTTGAGAAGAGGAATGACATGACCTGACTTTCAAAGGATCATCCTAACTGCTCTGTAGAGGACAGATCATAGAAGGACCAGAATGGAAGCAGGGATGACTTAGGAGACTGTGGGAACAGTTCAGGTGAAAAATATTGGTACCTTGAATTTAGTAATACTAGAGGAGGTAGTGAGAAGTGGTCGGGTTGTGGATATAATGCAAGGGTAGGGCCAAAATAATTTGCTGATGGACTGGATGTGGAGAGGGAGGTGGGAGGGGGGACCGGGATGGGGAATACATGTAAATCCATGGCTAATTCATTTCAATGTATGACAAAAACCACTGCAATGATGTAAAGTAATTAGCCTCCAACTAATAAAAATAAATGGAAAAAAAAAAAAAGACTGTTTGCAGTGACCAGTTGGAAGAGTGTGCTGAGTCACTTCGGTCGTGTCCAAGTCTTTGCGACCCTGTGGACTGCAGCCCGCCAGGCTTCTCTGTCCATGGGATTCTCCGGGCAAGAATACCGGAGTGGGTTGCCATGCCCTTCTCCAGGGAATCGTCTCAACAGGGATCGAACCTGATTCTCTTACGTCTCCTGCATTGGCAGGCAGTTCTTTAACAATAGCGCCACCTGGGAAGCCCAGGTTGGAAGAATAGACTTGCCATTTAATGAGATGGAAAACTGTGAAGAAACAACTTTGTTGGGAGCTTCAGTATCTGTTCAGGACATGCTAAATCTGAGAAGCTTTTTAAAGTCTTGGGGTCATGGAAGAAATCAAGATAGAGATACACTTTAGGGAGTTAGCAGTACATATAAATCCACAAAACTGGATGAGATGACCAACAGAGAGTGAAAATAGTAAAGAGATGTTGCCCAAGAACTCAACCCTTGAGTATTCCAACAGTTGAAAAACAAGAGGAAAGGGATTTCCATGGCAGTCCAGTGGCTAAGACTCCATGCTACCAATACAGGGAGCCCAGGCTTGATCCCTGGTCAGGGAACTAGATCCCACATGCTCCCACTAAGTATCCAGCATGCCACAACTAAAGATTCCATGTGTCACAACTAAGACCCAGCACAGCCAAAAATATTTTTTAAAGAACAAGAGAATAAAAGAGAATTGGCTCAGAGGCTAAGATGAAGCAAGCAGTAAAATAATAGGAGAACCAATAGAGGAAGGGTCTAGGTGAGTGAGTGAGTTATCAAACAGACAAACCAAGCAAGTTTTGTAACTCCTCTGGGGGCCAGTCTGTATGATAGGAATGACAGTGTTGATACCACCTCCCTTGTGTGGTGACTGTGAGGGTTGATTACAGAGCATGTATGTATATCATCTATTACAGCAGCTAGCACATAGGAAGTACTCAATAATTAATAACCATTTTATTATAAAGAAAACAACTAGAAAACATATGTACAGGGTTTTTTTGTTTTGTTTTGTTACTAATGAAAATGTTGCAGGAATTTAAAAAAGGAAAAAATCAATGAGTCAGGGTATTAAAGAAGTCTCTGAGGGAGAAAGGGAAATTTGACCCAGACTTTAAAATGGATTTTGGTAGAGGCAGCTGGGGCATCCCAAGGTGCTGAGATGAGCAAACACCCAGGAATGGATTTGAATATGTCATGGTAGTCAGGGAAGAGCTGTTTCTCTTCAGATGAAGTTTCATTGCAAAATGAAATCATACGAGGTTTGGTTTTGTTGTTGTTGTTTCAGTTCAGTTCAGTTCAGTTCAGTCGCTCAGTCGTGTCTGACTCTTTGCCACCCCATGAACTGCAGCATGCCAGGCCTCCTTGTCCATCACCAACCCCTGGAGTTTACTCACACTCTTGTCCATTGAGTCAGTGTTGTTGTTTTGTTTTATTTTATTTGGAAAACTATTCTTTTAATGTTTGTTCTACTCCTACAAAACTAAGCCTGGTAGACATTATAAGAAAAGACTAGTTGGATGGTACCATTCTTACTTAATCTAGCACTTAAATGATTGATGATGGTTTTGCATTTGTGCCATTAGGTTTTACCACCATTGAGGGATGTGACAAATCGACCTGAAGTTGGCTCAACTGTGAGAAATAAGCTGGTGCGCCTCATGACACATGTTGACCTGGGAGTCAAGCAAATTGCTGCTGAATTCCTTTTTGTCCTTTGCAAAGAGAGAGGTAGGTTAAACTCTTTGCCGTCTACTTTTTCACCTTTCTGAGGGTATTTGGGAAATGTTTCTGTTTTTAGTGGCCATCTTGTTCTGCTCTTTTCAGAACTTATTGTCTGTCTGTTCCATTAGAGGGTTTTAGGAGATAATAAAAATTAATAATTTAAAAGCTTTTCTATACACTTCTGAATTTATTGAGGCATGCAGACAGATACACTACTAAACACACTCACATTTAAACTTTGCCTCCTGTATCCTTAACCCAGACTTCTTAATCCTTAGGAGTCAGGACCTGGAGTCATTATGAAGAGTCTACTTATGTAATTAAGGTGCTACTATTTTGATAACCAGGCAAAGGACTAGGTTAGTTCCTCTTTTTAATTTCTCTTGGAATTAAAGCTACCGGAGTTTTATCTCTTCATTTCTTCTTTAATCAATAAAAAGTTATTGAATGTGAGCTATAAATGCTTAAGATACATCCTTTACCCTTGAGTTAATGGTAAGACAAAAGTAAAAAGAAATTAAAAACTATACTATACTATAATAAATGCTATTCTATAAGTTCATATAAAGTGACTGTCTTCTGAAATACATCTAACAATTTAAATTATTGGGTTATTTTGCTCTGCAAAAGTTCTCCAAACAAGAACTTTAACCAAGTTATTCAGGGATTTTTACCTATTTCTTTCTTCATCTCCTGGTTTATAAAAGTACTAGTAAAAGTCCCAACTAAGCAGATTTTATATTCCACTTTTTAAAGTACCTCAGTTTTGTGAGATAGATAACTTAGAGGTGAGAAACTTCACTCACTTCTCTAAAAATCTTCCGTCAGTTGAGTTCTTTTCTCCCTCACCAGTTTTACTGGGGTGTATTTGACATATAAAATTGTATATATTTAAAGTATACAACATGATAATTTGATATACATATACACTGTGAAATGATTACTACTGTCATGTGAATTAACACATTCACCACCTCACACAATCACGTGTGTGTGTGTGGTGAGAACACTCAAGATTTCCTGTCTTAGCAACTTTAAAGTGTACAACAGGGTATTATTGTATTATAGGTATTATTAACTATAGTCATCATGCTGTACATTAGACCCCCAGAAATTATTAATCTTATAACTGAACTTATTCATCTTATAAATTGTACCCTTTGACCAGATCTCCTTGTTTCCCTACCCTCTACCCTCTGGTAATCACTACTCTCTGTTTCTATGAGTTTGATTTTTTTTTCAGGTTCTACTTATAAGTGAGTTCTACAGTATTTATCTTTCTCTGTCTGGCTTATTCACTTAGCATAAATATTCTCTAAGTTCATCCATGTGTTGCAAATAGCAAGATTTCATCTTTGTCGTGGCTGAATAACGTTCCATTTTATATACAGTTCACCATTGACCATGAGTTTGAACTGCTTGGGTTCACTTAGATGTGGATGTTTTTTAAATAAATACACACTATAGTACTACATGACCCATGATAGGTTAGGTCCACAGTTGGTTGGGTCTGTGGATGTGGAACCACAGACACGGAAAGCAGACTAAAATTATATCCAGATTTTCGGCTGCATGAAGAGTGGACATCCCTAACCCTGGGATTCTTTAAGGGCCAACTCCGTATGTCTTATCTGTTCTTCTGTTGGTGAATACTTAGCTTGTCTCCATTTCTTGGCTATTGTGAAAAATGCTGCTGTGAACATGGGAGCTGAGCTCTCTTTCAGTTATTACTTCATTTCCTTTGAATATATTTCCAGAAGTGGGGTGGTGGATTATATTGTGGTTCTATATTTAATTTTTTAGTAACTTCCACTACTGTTTTCCCACCAACAGTTGTTCTTCAGTCACTAAGTCATGTCCAACTCTCTGTGACCCCACAGACTGCAGCACACCAGGCTTCCCTGTCCTTCATAATCTCCCGGAGTTTGCTCAGATTCAATTTCATTGAGTCAGTGATGCTGTCTAACCATCTCATCCTCTGCCGCCCTCTTCTTTTGCCTTCAGTCTTTCCCAGCATCAGGGTCTTTTCCAGTGAGTCAGCTGTTCGCATCAGGTGGCCAAAGTATTGGAGCTTCAGCTTTAGCATCAGTCGTTCTAGTGAATACTCAGGATTGATTTCCTTTAAGATTGACTGGTTTGATCTCCTTGCACTTCAGAGGACTCTCAAGAGTCTTCTCCAGCACCACAATTCAAAAACATCAATTCTTTGGCTCTTGGCCTTCTTTGTGGTCCAACTCTCACATCTGTACATGACTCTTGGAATAGTAACTAGTAGCTACACCAATTTCCATTCCCACCAACAGTGTAAAAGGGTTTTGTCTTTGCCACATCCCCGCCACATCCCTGTATATCTTGTTTTTGATAAAAGCCATTCTAATAGATGTGAGATGATCTCTCATTGTGTTTTGATTTGACTTTTCCCTGATGATTAGTGACATTTAACACCTTTTCATGTACCTGTTGGGCACCTGTATGCCTTTGGAAAAGTGTCTATTCAGGTTCTTTGCCTAATTTTTAATTAAATTGTTTGGGAACTTTTGTTATCGAGTTGGATTCATTGAATTCTTAACCTTCATTTCTGACTAATTGATACAACCACTTAAGTTACTGCTAAGATAGTATATTAATAAGATCAATATCACTATAGTGATAATAAACACAACTATTGCAGTATCATGTGTCAAACATTCTAAGCCATAATCTCATTTCATTCTCATTAGGACTGTAATGTAAATATTATTTTTATTCAATATCATAAATGAGGCAAGGGTTTTATCCAAGGTCATGCAGTTGCTTAAAGCTAAGCCTGAATTTGAGTCCTATCTTTCCATTCTGCCATATTTCCTCTCCTAACACAATTGACTCATAATGCAATACAAATGAACAACATGGGTTTGAACTGCTGTCCATGGTCTACTTATATGCAGATAAATATATACTACAGTACTGTGTGATCCACAGTCAGTTTAACTCACAGATGTGGCACTGCAAGTATGGAGGGCCAACTATAAGGTTATGGGAGGATTTGCAACTGCTTGAAGGGCCATCATCCCTAATACCTGTGTTGTTCAAGAGTCACCAGTAATTATCCTCAACTTTTCTCATAGACTGGCTCATTTAACATCTGCTCTTTTAAGCAGTTCAATTATTTCTATGAAAAAAGATCCCATATCGTAAAATTAAGTGATTGGAATAGTGCCTTGCATTTAGTAGTCTGTAAGTACTTGCTGAATTGAATCAATTTTTCTGAGATCAGAAATTAGCTGTTTTTCAAGTATAATTGTGTGTGTGTGTGTATATATACACACACATAAATCTAAACACACATGTGTATGTATTCATTAAAAAATGTTTATCAAAATATACATCAAAATCTTATCCATTGGTACCTCTAAGTAGTAGAATGCCTGGAGATTTTTTTTTAGTTCTCTGTATTTTATAGTTTTCTACAATGAGCATGCTTTTCTTGTGTACTTGTAAAGTTTTTAAGAGGGGAAAAATGAAGTTTATTTCATCTGTAATTAAAATCTAAATATATATAACATCTAATTACATATCTAAATACATATATTACCTAAATACATAAATTGCATTTCTAAATATACATCTAAATAATTTTATAAATCTAAATATAGTTCAGTCGCTCAGTCATGTCTGACTCTTTGGGACCCCGTGGACTGCAGCACGCCAGGCCTCCCTGTCCATCACCAACTCCCAGAGCTTACTCAAACTCATGTCCATGGAGTCGGTGATGCCATCCAACCATCTTATCCTCTCTCATCCCCTTCTCCTGCCTTCAGTCTTTCCCACCATCAGGGTCTTTTCAGATGAGTCAGTTCTTCACATCAGGTGGCCAAAGTATTGGAGTTTCAGCTTCAGCATCAGTCCTTCCAATGGACATTCAGGACTGATTGCCTTTAGGATGGACTGGTTGGATCTCATTGCTGTCTAAGGGACTCTCAAGAGTCTTCTCCAACATCACAAAACCATCAATTCTTCGGCGTTCAACTTTTTTTGTAGTCCAACTCTCACATCCATACATGACTACTGGAAAAACCATAGCTTTGACTAGATGGACCTTTGTTGGCAAAGTAATGTCTGCTTTTTAATATGCTGTCTAGGTTGGTCACAACTTTTCTTCCAAGGAGCAAGTGTCTTTTATATATAAATGTGTATATATAAATGTAATCAATCACCTCACGTATGTGTTACTGTCATAACACATATTGTATATACATTTAAAATGAATTTGTTAATTGTTTTTTATTTGAAATGGTTAACTTTGTTCCCCCAGGACCCAGTATTAGAGGTTTCATAGTCCTAACTTTAATCCCCAAACGCATGTTAGCAAAACTTTATCTTTTTCATTTGATCTTTAACAATTATTTATATTCATCTGCTTTTCCTTCCAGTTAGATTTTAATAGTAAAAATATTCTTCTGGAATACAAATTTGCTTATTCAAATTTTGAATACTTTTGAGGTAGACCCTGGGAATACAAAGGTATACATGATAAACAGGGTCTCTGCCCTCAGTATTATTTACTTTCTTTATCAAGGATTACAAATTCAGATGACTACAAAATTAATAAAGTAAGTCAAATGGATGGAACATAAGATGATCAATGAAACCTGGCACTTAGCTATTGTTGGGGAGACAGTGGGTTGGGAGTGGAGGAGCAAGGGGAATGTGGGGGACTAGAAAGAGGACCTTGCTGCTGTTTAGCTCCAGCTGCTTGTTACCATGAAGGGACATGTGGCCAATATTACCAAATCATCCAGATTTTTCAAGAGGAGCCAGGACTCTGGATTTTTACATAAAATTCCTCAGTTCTTAAATGCTGACAACTAAATCTAATTTAAAATTCTAATTCTAATTCAAAACCACCAAAAAGTTTGTGGTCCATATTCAACTTATAAGTCATCATAAGATTTTGGAGCTTGGGTTGGGTTTGGAGACAGATTATATCACAATAAAATAAATTTAAAATAAAAAATAAAATAATT